GAATTTTGATTAAAGCCAATGTTGGAAACATAGCTATGCATTCCTTTTTCGAAATCATGCTTTTTTCAGAAAATTGCGAATTTTTCGATATTTTGAAATGCTCTCAAAATCTGACCCATTAGAAATGAAACAAAATCGATGCATAGCGTAATGAGGATGTAAATTAAAATATTAAATCAATGAAAAAAATCCCGATAAAGTAATTTGCCTGGGAGCCTTTGCATTTTTTCTGTACTAGTCACATGACCATGGGCGTGGCCTGATGACGTCATCACTAGTGTTACTGATCATGAGAAAGTTAAAACACATGAAATAATTCTGAACTAACTAAAAACGATGATGGTACATAGAATTAATTTTCCCTAGCAACGGCTCGCAAAGATCGGTTAATGGGCCCTTAACCTAATTTCCTAATTCGCATAATTGTAGTTTTTCCCGGAAATATTTCACGCTTGACTAATTTGGGACACATTCCAGGTATTTATGACTAAGAGCAACACATTAATTTTTCAGATTAGTACAGTGGCTTTGCATAGTATACTTCACCGGAGCATTTTGTCAAACTCTTTGAAGTATTGAGCGGTTCTGATTTTTGCTAGAAGTACACTTCAGGAAGGATAATTTTCCATTCCTTATCTTATCATCTGCAGACAGGTGTAGTCGATTTTTTACACTGATCCAATTCAGCTGATGTTTCTGTTTGCAATATGAATGTTACTTTGACTCAGTTGCCCGTTCAGTTCTCCCGATTCTGCCTGTAGTTTGGAGGGCACGGGGTCGCAGATTGTACCCCTGTTGGCATGTAAGCTAGACATTACTGCACATCTACTAAGTCTGGGAGTGAGCTTAGGACAACAGCGAACCCGAGACGAAAACGTTAATGAAGTTGACCTGATCCTGAATAGAGCTGGATACTTTGTTGCAACCGAAAACGAGAAAATATCCTCCTGGAAATTCCAATCCTTTCTGTGGGGGAGTAGGGATATTTTCTGGAACTGTACAACAGTATCAGAAACAGTAACCTTTATTGATATACAATTGCACTCCTTGGAGGGGAGTAAAATTGAACTGAGATTAGATTCTTAATAAAGTGTATTATCGTTTCTCACACGATGTAGTCACTTGAGATGTAGATCGCGACGTTTCGACTGCTTACTGCTAGTCTTCTTCAGGCG